TTATCAAGTTCACTAACAAACTTACCAGTTGATAGCTTTTTGTCATTTTATTATTATTATAATATATATACAGTATAACACATTATGTATTATACATAACAATTGAGAGGTGAGACCAAAGAGCCAAAGCACAACTAGGTGAGTACATACAGAGGAACCTCAATTCTGTGAATATCTGGTTGTTACGCACACCTTCCAGGCCAGATTTACTCACCTGATTCAGGGCACAAAAGTTCGCTGGAGCGAGGGAGGTGCTGATTTGATAAGTATGGAGGGACAGAGTTCCCAGATTGGTGGAAAAGTTGTCCCATCATATCATAGTTACAATAAATGATTCTTCTGGTGAAATCAGGCCATATAGCATGGGAAACACGAGGCTATCACACTAAACAGCTGTAAGTTTTGACAGGCAATCAAGCTAGAAAGACTAGACAAACTGGGTCTTGACAGATTGCCTGCTCAACAGATTGTCAGGCTAAACAAATTGACATGCTAGACAAACTGTCAGGCTGCAAATACTGCCTGGCTATGCTGTCAGGATATTCACACTGGAAGCTTAGACAGGTTAACAGGCTAGACATACTGCTAAGTTTGACAGACAAGACAAACTGTCAGGCTAGACAATCTGGACATAGATTGTTTGGCTATACAGACTGTCAGGCTAGACAATCTGGGTCTAAACTGATTTTTTTGTCAAGCTAAACAGACTGTCGGTCTTGACATGCTGTCAAGCTAGACAAACCGAGTCTAAATATATTGTCAGGCTACACAAATTGGGCCTTAAGACACATTTTTAGGCGAAATAGACTGTCTGGCTAGACAGTGTCATCCTAGACAGATTGTCACACTAAACAGCCAGATTAGACATACTGCTAGGCTTGACATGCTATTAGGCTAGACACATCGAGTCTAGGCATTGTCAGTCTAGAAGGTAGTAAGGATGTACTGTACAGGATGCACAGATTCTATGTCACTGTCTAGCTGCCAGACAGGACAGAGAACACAAGAGTGACCAATAAACTCGCCCCTCGGGGCAAAATTTTAAAATTTAAGAGTGACAGACATTTTTTTGAGATATATACAAGAGTTGTTACATTCTTGTACAGCCACTAGTACGCGTAGCGTTTCGGGCAAGTCCTTAATCCTATGGTCCCTGGAATACGATCCCCTGCCGCGAAGAATCTTTTTTTCATCCAAGTACACATTTTACTGTTGCGTTAAACAGAGGCTACAGTTAAGGAATTGCGCCCAGTAAATCCTCCCCGGCCAGGATACGAACCCATGACATAGCGCTCGCGGAACGCCAGGCGAGTGTCTTACCACTACACCACGGAGACTGCTATTATTACATGTCTCCTTCCTGTTCAAACCCCACCTCTCCCTTCTCCATCTCACTGCACCAGCTGTAATGTGTTGTTGTTAAAGATTTGCTACCTGGAACAAAGTTCCAAGCAGCACGGGCTATGGTGAGCCCGTAGTGCCTTACCAGCTGTAAGATGATGTAACATCATATATGTCTTAAAATATCAAAACTTATGTTATTTTCTTGTACTGTAAATATTTAAATAAATACACAATCAACCAAATACTGTACAAATATTATTTTTTTGTTATTTACAATTAGTACATTTGACACGTAAAAGAATACTAGCCCTGCAGGACTTAATTAAAGAAATATATGATTAAGCAACTCCTGCACCCCCCCCCCCATCCCATAACCACCGCCGCCCCCCCCCCTTACCCATAACCTTCGCCCCTCCCCCCCGGTCAGTCCCCAGCTAGCAAGGGTAAACGTGTTCCAGTCCGGTTCCTCTCTTAGCTCACTCTGGACCTTTAAGAACCACCACTCTCCCACACTCCATACATGCCCACACACTGATATATATAAAGGATGTATGTATGTACTGTAGGGTCCCGGTAGTGCAGTCGGGTTCGTTCTTGACTCACAATCGTTAAACCCATCCATCTCCCCCCCCCCTCTCCCTCTCTCTCCCTCCCTCCTCCCTCTCTCTCTCTCTCTCTCTCTCTCTCTCTCTCTCTCTCTCTCTCTCTCTCTCTCTCTCTCTCTCTCTCTCTCTCTCTCTCTCTCTCTCTCTCTCTCTCTCTCTCTCTCTATTTTGTGATTGACTAGATGTTGTTTTGGCATATGAGGTATACAAAGTTCTTAATGGAGGTATACAAAGTTCTTAATGGTTCCTTACACAAGTTTGTGAAGGCAGTTCCTATGTTCGTCAGCCTTGCATACGCCGCTGATGTTATCCTTTTGATGTAGGCTTTAGGGGACAGGTCTGGTGTGAATCAACCCCCAGAGCTTTCTCTTCCTGACTCCTGAAAGATTTCCTTTCCCAGATGGTACCATGTGTTTGGCCTCCTGCTCTCTACACCTATTTTCATCATGCGATGCGGGTACGCTGTTTCCTTTTGAATTCTGGAGATCTTGACCAGTTTATGTTCATCCCGTACCCCGGACCACGTCCTTTGCAAATTTGTGTGAGGCTAGCCCCAAGCATCTAGCCTCCAAGTTTCGACAGATAAACAGACATTCTCTCATAGTATATTATGGAGCTAAATATTTCCAAAACTAAGTTTTTAATCAAATATATTTCCTATAGAAATATATACTATAATTCACTGATCTCAGGAAAAGGAACAGAAGTTTCCTGCTGTTCAAAATTTGTCCATATTTACATATAACAGACGATCCTGCCAAAGCCTGAAAGTTTTCTCCAGCGACGCGTCTTTGTCAGCGTAAAGGCGTAACTATTCTATTTTTCAGTATTTCACACCACTCTGCTCTTCTCACCAGCGACCACCCACACATTAGACTATAATATTTTTTATATTTATTTATTTAATTTAGTTATTTATATACAAGAAGGTACATTGGGTTTGAGAGAATACATAGCATAGTATTTACAATCTTGTAAAGCCACTAGTACGCGCAACGTTTCGGGCAGGTCCTTAATCTAACAGATAATTTTTAGTAGGTAAATTCTATCAGAATTAATAAAAAGATAACAAATACATTGCAAGAAAAAAATGAGATGAGAGAGATTAGTAAGTATAGTAAAGCACATTGGTAGATGTATTATAAGAAAGAGATATGCACAGACAGAGGAAGACAGAGCTGCAGACAGTCAGTAGATAATTGGATAATAGATAGATGGATAGACATATAGATAGATAAATAGATGGATGGGTAGAGAGATGGATGGATACACGGATAGATAGACGGATGAGTGGATAGAAAGATAGATGGATGAAAAGAATGATTGATAGAGGGAAAGATGAATGAATAAGTGGATAGATGAATGGATAGATATAAGGGTAGACAAAAAAGATGAAACTAAGTAAAAACTAAGTACAATACTACCTAATAAACTCCATGTAACCTTTTTTACCTCTTAAATGTCAACCTATGTCTTGCTATTTTCAAACAATATTAATTATTGACCAACTTGAATAACTGCTGATATCCGCCATGTATAAACTTGAAGAAAACTGTAGTCTTCTGTTTATTTATTTTAAATTACTTCTGCTGTTCTCTTTCAATTTCTGCTGTTCCATCCATCATGTAATTATTATCATTGTTTTTTCTTTATTTCCCCATTTTTCAATTACATTTATGCTTTGATCTCAAAGCATAAATTACAGAGAACACACAAGAGAGGTCACACTACAAGAGCAGGGTGCTGTAGAGAACACACAAGAGAGGTCACACTACAAGAGCAGTGTGTTGTAGAGAACACACAAGAGAGGTCACACTACAAGAGCAGTGTGTTGTAGAGAACACACAAGAGAGGTCACACTACAAGAGCAGTGTGTTGTAGAGAACACACAAGAGAGGTCACACTACAAGAGCAGGTGCTGTAGAGAACACACATGTGAGGTCACACTACAAGAGCAGGGTGCTGTAGAGAACACACAAGAGAGGTCACACTACAAGAGCAGTGTGTTGTAGAGAACACACAAGAGAGGTCACACTACAAGAGCAGGGTGCTGTAGAGAACACACAAGAGAGGTCACACTACAAGAGCAGTGTGTTGTAGAGAACACACAAGAGAGGTCACACTACAAGAGCAGGGTGTTGTAGAGAACACACAAGAGAGGTCACACTACAAGAGCAGTGTGTTGTAGAGAACACACAAGAGAGGTCACACTACAAGAGCAGGGTGCTGTAGAGAACACACAAGAGAGGTCACACTACAAGAGCAGTGTGTTGTAGAGAACACACAAGAGAGGTCACACTACAAGAGCAGGTGCTGTAGAGAACACACAAGAGAGGTCACACTACAAGAGCAGGGTGCTGTAGAGAACACACAAGAGAGGTCACACTACAAGAGCAGGGTGCTGTAGAGAACACACAAGAGAGGTCACACTACAAGAGCAGGTGTTGTAGAGAACACACAAGAGAGGTCACACTACAAGAGCAGGTGCTGTAGAGAACACACAAGAGAGGTCACACTACAAGAGCAGGGTGCTGTAGAGAACACACAAGAGAGGTCACACTACAAGAGCAGGGTGCTGTAGAGAACACACAAGAGAGGTCACACTACAAGAGCAGGGTGTTGTAGAGAACACACAAGAGAGGTCACACTACAAGAGCAGGGTGTTGTAGAGAACACACAAGAGAGGTCACACTACAAGAGCAGGGTGCTGTAGAGGACACACAAGAGAGGTCACACTACAAGAGCAGGGTGTTGTAGAGAACACACAAGAGAGGTCACACTACAAGAGCAGGGTGTTGTAGAGAACACACAAGAGAGGTCACACTACAAGAGCAGGGTGTTGTAGAGAACACACAAGAGAGGTCACACTACAAGAGCAGGTGTTGTAGAGAACACACAAGAGAGGTCACACTACAAGAGCAGGGTGTTGTAGAGAACACACAAGAGAGGTCACACTACAAGAGCAGGGTGTAAGGGGCACAATACACACCTCAGACATACGCATCAATAAGACTCTTAAGAGTAATACAATACTTCAGAAGAAGTATTTACCGTTCCTCGTAGGGTTCAACAGGCACTTCAGAATGGCAGGCGGCGAAGATTGGGGTCTTGAGCACCGCGCACTGGTCGGCCGCCCACACCTTCCTGTGCGGGTGTAGGCTGCATGTGTCCTGTGGTGTGTGCAACACCGCCTCGTTAACACATTAATATTAATGACAATAATGAACCTCAATATGCAACTACGATCAAACAATATGAATGATATATAATGAGATGATGAATGATATACAGTTATCTAGAACAGAATTTAAAACACATCTAAGTTTATTCTATATATTTTTACTTAAGCCAAATAATCAAAAAGAACTTTTGTTTACTTAACGACTTTCCTATCTTTAATAAATGTTCTGTTATTAAACTTGATACAAAAGCCAATTCATATTTTGTTTTGTTTTTCAAAATAAAAATCGCCGTAAAATCTTCAGTACTTTGAATCTTCATATAATGTGAATTAACAACTGCCACAATAAAATTTGAACTAAAAATCTCCATTCGTATATTTTCTCAGTTTAAGAAGAGGTAGATGAGCCTGAAGGAATATGAAGCAATGCATGAAGACACTTGTGACTTGCCTTGATCAAAATACTGTCGGGGCAGTAGTTCTGTAGCCTCCAGGAGTCCCCGAAGATCTTGACGGAGACCTCACTGGAGCCTCCTGATGGTGTCTGGAAGTCGTCCTGTTCGTCGCCATTGTAGTTCCCACACAAACCTCTCACCTGCGCCACACACACACAAGCAGCAAATCAATTTTTTTTAATTACAGTTATTATTACTATCACACATTGAACTCAACCCCCCTGCAAGAGACTCGAACCCAGAAAGCACAGATGTTCGCCAACCTGTACATAACTAGTACGCTGACCATATTCACGACAACATTTACGATTTCTATGTGTTGTTATTGGGTTACGTTAGGCTTGGGGTGTTTTGTTACACCATTTTGTGTCCTTAGTGACCACTGGAGAGGACGGCGTGAGTGTCCAAGGAAGGTGTCATGTCAAGCGTGAGAAGACCGCGCCTGGTGTCTACACCACAACTCACAGACTGATTGATGAAGATTAAGCCACCCAAAAGGTGGCACGGGCATGAATAGCCCGTAAGTGGAGGCCTTTTTGAGCCATTACCAGTATCAATAGATGATACTGGAGGTCTGTGGACGTGCGACTGCACCCTGCGTGACGGAAGATGTCTCCCGTAGACAACTCACAAGGATCACCATACACATGTAGTCTTAGGGAACATTTGACAGCGGCTGGGATTATGCTGCTTCTTTGTAATGCTTTCCTCCGAATAAGTTGCAAGAATATTTTAAATAATGTAATGTACTTAACTGAAAATAACAAAATAATCAATTGCTGCCTTTTTTCTCGGTGGTGATGCCTGCCTGCCTGCCCGTGAGAAGAGGCGTGATGATGATGATACTGTAAGCCAGACTTGTGTAAGGTTAGGTTAGGTTTGTGTAAGGTTAGCGTGGCCTGCAGGGGTAGCTTACCTTGCCCTTCCAGACAGGGTCGAGTCTGAGGTAGGCGCGGGTGCCACGGTCCCACTGTAGCACCAGCCCCATGTCCGTCACCTCCGCGAACACGAACAATCCAGCCTCACGGATGATGGTTCGTGTCATATTTCTGAAAGTCATAACAAACAAATGATATCACTTCACACCACCTGGCCCCACAAGGTGTAAGACTGACCTGGTGGGTGTACCTGGCCCCACAAGGTGTAAGACTGACCTGGTGGGTGTAGGCTTGTTGCGGGAGAACTCTACAGCCTCGAGGGCGTCGCCGGAGCCCACTCTGAGGGTGATGGACTTAGCGCAGGTGACCCCGTCCGTCCCACACGGCACATTCTGCGCACCACACACACACACGCCATCATCAACAACATGTAGGCTCACATGTGCGTCTAGCACACTACTCACAATATATTAATACTATATCTCATATATTAATCTAAACGGTATTCTATTTACATTAACAATATTATTGTACTCACAGGAATCACAATAGCGTGATATGTCAAATGAACGAATACACAAGGGCCGTGATGAGGGTTCGAATCTACGTCCGGGATTAGTCGACTGCGCCACGACATTGTTAAAAGAATTGCAACCGGGAGAGATTGGGAGTGAGGGCAGTAGCACTCCCGGTTGCAATTCTTTTAACCATGTCGTGGCGCAGTCGACTAAGGCGCGTGTGGGATCATCCCGGACGTAGGTTCGAACCCTCATCACGGCCCTTGTGGACTTGTTCAATATGATAGTCAAACTAAGTTACTTTGAAACAAGTTTAATGATAAACTCTGTACTCTAATCTTTGCAGTATTTTACACATACAAATGTATATATATTTAACTATTTACTCCTAATATTCTAAACAATCAAATTGATTTTCAATTGGAGTGAGATGTTGTGTTGACATACCTGTATGATGACTTCGAAGTGATCAGCCGTGGAGGCCTTGCCCTTGGCCAGGAGGTAGTCACAGGTGCCGTAGAACTCGTAGAGGCGCCCGTCGAAGGTCTTGTAGTGGGAGTCCCCCCACGCCGTACAGATGCCCGGGCACTGGTGCTCTGTGCACGCCCACTGCCCGCCCTCACACGTGCTGTGGGAGGCAACACTTCACACACCACACACACACACACCTGCCCCCGGGCACTGGTGCTCGGTGCCCGCCCTCACACGTGCTGTGGGAGGCAACACTTCACACCACACACACACACCTGCCCCCGGGCACTGGTGCTCTGTGCACGCCCACTGCACGCCCTCACACGTGCTGTGGGAGGCAACACTTCACACACCACACACACACACCTGCCCCCGGGCACTGGTGCTCGGTGCACGCCCACTGCCCGCCCTCACACGTGCTGTGGGAGCCAACACTTCACACACCACACACACACACCTGCCCCCGGGCACTGGTGCTCTGTGCACGCCCACTGCCCGCCCTCACACGTGTTGTGGGTGGCTACACTTCACACACCACACACACACACCTGCCCCCGGGCACTGGCAGAAGAGATGAAAATCATAGAGAAAATAGTAGGTTTAGGAGAAGGCTCAAAGGAAAATGTCAGTGATCTTAGAAGAATAGGAAAATATGAGAAAGAAAAGAACCGCCCCTTAAGGGTGACCTTTAATGGAGTGAAAAACATGATGGAAGTGCTAAGAAATGCCAGGAAACTGCAGAGTGATGAGGTTGGCAAATTTTGGTCAATAAGACAAGACCTCTCCAAGGAAGACAGAGAAAAGCTGAAAATGAACCTAATTGAGGCAAAACGTCTAAATGGGAATAGAAATGAAGAAGACAGAAATTCTTTTTTTTACAAAGTGACAGGGACTGGAAAGCTTGTGAAATGGTACATAAAAACAAAGCAACAAGATCATTAGTGGAAGGGGGAGTAAAGAGCAAAGGAAAAGGGAACATGTTCCTGAAAATTGTATATACCAACATAGATGGAGTGAGGTCAAAAACTTTGGAGTTGCAAGATATAATCCAGCTTAGGGTCCCAGATATTGTTGCATTATCAGAGACGAAACTTGAAGGAAATATAATAAATGAAGTCATATTCCCAAGAGGCTACTCAGTTTGGAGACGTGACAGGAAAACTAGGAAGGGAGGAGGAGTGGCTGTACTGGTGAAAAAACACCTGAAGGTAAAAGAGTTAATACTTGAAAACCCTCGAGATATTGACATAATGGCATTGCAGGTCTGGAATCAGGATGATAAGCTGATAATTGTAAATACCTACAGCCCACCTGCAAGCAACACATGGACAAAGGAAGAACTGGATGACAAACGAGAGGGCCTCATAATGGTCATGAGAGATATTATTGTACAAGCAGATAAAGATAAATCACGACTGTTGATACTGGTTGACTTCAACTTTAGAGCAATAGACTGGGAGGCCTATGAAGCAAGGACGGAGGACTTTTGGACATGCAGATTTGTGAACCTCATTCTGGAGACATTCTTGTATCAACACATAAAGCAAGCCACAAGAATGAGGGAAGGAGATGTACCGTCAGTACTGGATCTAGTATTCACCAGGAAAGAAGAAGAGATTTTTGACATCCAGTACCTTCCTCCCTTGGGAAAGAGTGATCACGTCCTGTTAGACATTAAATATGCTTTAAGATATCATCTAGAAGAAAATGGGGACATTGAAACAGTTGATAAACTCGATTTAAGGAGAGGCAACTATGGGGAACTTCGAAATTTTTTTTAATGAGTGTAATTGGACAGAATTGTTGCTAGGCAGGGAAGTAAATGAAATGTATGCCAAATTTTTAAAACTATACGAGGAAGGCACACAAACATTCATACCAAAACAGAGATGCAGGGCCAGAAAACAGGATTGGTTCGACAGAAATTGTGAGAGGGCAAGAGACCAAAAGACACAAAAATGGAATCAGTATAGGAAGAGGCCAAACCCCCAAACATACCAGCGATACAAAGATGCGAGAAACAACTATACGGCAGTAAGGAGAGAGGCAGAAAGAAATTTTGAAAAAGGGATAGGGGATAAATGTAAAACAGAACCGGGCCTATTCTACAAATTCATAAACAACAAATTGCAGGTAAAGGATAATATCCAGAGGTTGGAAATGGGAAACAGATTCACGGAAAATGAAAAGGAAATGTGTGAAACATTAAATGAAAAGTTCCAAAGTGTGTTTGTACAAAATGAAATCTTCAGAGAACCAGACACAATAAGAATTCCAGAGAACAACATAGAGCGGATAGAGGTGTCTAGAGATGAAGTGGAAAATATGCTAAAGGAGCTCGGGAGGAACAAAGCAGCTGGCCCAGATGGCGTTTCACCATGGGTTCTGAGAGAATGTGCATCTGAGCTCAGCATTCCACTTCACCTGATCTTTCAGGCATCCCTGTGTACAGGAATCGTAGCAGATGGGTGGAAACAGGCTAACATAGTTCCAATCTACAAAAGTGGCAGCAGGGAAGACCCCCTTAATTATAGACCTGTATCATTGACAAGTGTAATAGTGAAAGTATTGGAAAAGCTAATCAAAACTAAATGGGTAGAACACCTGGAGAGAAATGATATAATATCAGACAGACAGTATGGTTTTCGATCTGGAAGATCCTGTGTATCGAATTTACTCAGTTTCTATGATCGAGCCACAGAGATATTACAGGAAAGAGATGGTTGGGTTGACTGCATCTATCTGGACCTAAAAAAGGCTTTCGACAGAGTTCCACATAAGAGGTTGTTCTGGAAACTGGAAAATATTGGAGGGGTGACAGGTAAGCTTCTATCATGGATGAAAAATTTTCTGACTGATAGAAAAATGAGGGCAGTAATCAGAGGCAATGTATCGGAATGGAGAAATGTCACAAGTGGAGTACCACAGGGTTCAGTTCTTGCACCAGTGATGTTTATTGTGTACATAAATGATCTACCAGTTGGTATACAGAATTATATGAACATGTTTGCTGATGATGCTAAGATAATAGGAAGGATAAGAAATTTAGATGATTGTCATGCCCTTCAAGAAGACCTGGACAAAATAAGTATATGGAGCACCACTTGGCAAATGGAATTTAATGTTAATAAATGTCATGTTATGGAATGTGGAATAGGAGAACATAGACCCCATACAACCTATATATTATGTGAGAAATCTTTAAAGAATTCTGATAAAGAAAGAGATCTAGGAGTGGTTCTAGATAGAAAACTATCACCTGAGGACCACATAAAGAATATTGTGCAAGGAGCCTATGCAATGCTTTCTAACTTCAGAATTGCATTTAAATACATGGATGGCGAGATACTAAAGAAATTGTTCATGACTTTTGTTAGGCCAAAGCTAGAATATGCAGCTGTTGTGTGGTGCCCATATCTTAAGAAGCACATCAACAAACTGGAAAAGGTGCAAAGACATGCTACTAAGTGGCTCCCAGAACTGAAGGGCAAGAGCTACGAGGAGAGGTTAGAAGCATTAAATATGCCAAAACTAGAAGACAGAAGAAAAAGAGGTGATATGATCACTACGTACAAAATAGTAACAGGAATTGATAAAATCGACAGGGAAGACTTCCTGAGACCTGGAACTTCAAGAACAAGAGGTCATAGATTTAAACTAGCTAAACACAGATGCCGAAGAAATATAAGAAAATTCACCTTCGCAAATAGAGTGGTAGACGGTTGGAACAAGTTAAGTGAGAAGGTGGTGGAGGCCAAGACCGTCAGTAGTTTCAAAGCGTTATATGACAAAGAGTGCTGGGAAGACGGGACACCACGAGCGTAGCTCTCATCCTGTAACTACACTTAGGTAATTACACTTAGGTAATTACTGGTGCTCGGTGCACGCCCTCACACGTGCTGTGGGAGCCAACACTTCACACACCACACACACACACACACACACACACACACACACACACACACACACACACACACACACACACACACACACACACACACACACACACACACACACACACACACACACACACACACACACACACACACACACACACACACACACACACACACACACACACACACACACACACACACACACACACACACACACACACACACACACACACACACACACACACACACACACACACACACACACACACACACACACACACACACACACACACACACACACACACACACACACACACACACACACACACACACACACACACACATACACACACACACACACACACACACACACACACACACACACACACACACACACACACACACACACACACACACACACACACACACACACACACACACACACACACACACACACACACACACACACACACACACACACACACACACACACACACACACAGACGAGGATTGTAGGATCCTCCAAGAGGACTTAAACAGGCTGCAGAGATGGTCAGGGAAATGGCTACTGGAGTTTAACACCAGTAAATGTAAAGTTATGGAAATGGGATCAGGTGACAGGAGACCAAAGGGACAGTACACAATGAAGGGGAACAGCCTACCTGTAACGATTCGAGAAAGAGACCTGGGAGTGGATGTGACACCTAATCTAACTCCTGAGGCACATATAAATAGGATAACGACAGCAGCGTACTCTACACTGGCGAAAATTAGAACTTCATTCAGAAACCTAAATGAGGAAGCTTTTAGGGCACTTTACACTGCCTACGTGAGACCCGTCTTAGAGTATGCCGCGCCATCATGGAGCCCCCACCTGAAGAAACACATAAAGAAACTGGAGAAGGTTCAGAGGTTTGCGACGAGGCTTGTCCCAGAGCTACGAGGGATGGGATATGAAGAGCGGCTGAAGGAACTGAACCTTACGACACTAGAGAAAAGAAGGGAGAGAGGAGATATGATAGGGACATATAAAATACTCAGGGGAATTGACAAAGTGGAAATAGATGAAATGTTCACACGTAATAATAACAGAACGAGGGGACATGGGTGGAAACTGGAAACTCAGATGAGTCACAGAGATGTTAGGAAGTTTTCTTTTAGCGTGAGAGTAGTAGAAAAATGGAATGCACTTGGGGAACAGGTTGTGGAAGCAAATACTATTCATACTTTTAAAACTAGGTATGATAGGGAAATGGGACAGGAGTCATTGCTGTAAACAACCGATAGCTAGAAAGGCGGGATCCAAGAGTCAATGCTCGATCCTGCAAGCACATATAGGTGAGTACATATAGGTGAGTACACACACCCACACACACACCCACACACACACACACACACACACACACACACACACACACACACACACACACACACACACACACACACACACACACACACACACACACACACACACACACACACACACACACACACACACACACACACACACACACACACACACACACACACACACACACACACACACACACACACACACACACACCCACACACACACACACCCACACACACATAGATATAACACATAGATAGAACACATAGAGGTGTCTAGAGACGAAGTGGAAAAAATGCTCAAGGAGCTCGGTAAGAACAAAGCAGCTGGCCCAGATGGCGTTTCACCATGGGTTCTGAGAGAATGTGCATCTGAGCTCAGCATTCCACTTCACCTGATCTTTCAGGCATCCCTGTGTACAGGAATCGTAGCAGACGGGTGGAAACAGGCTAACATAGTTCCAATCTACAAAAGTGGCAGCAGGGAAGACCCCCTCAATTATAGACCTGTATCATTAACAAGTGTAATAGTGAAAGTATTGGAAAAACTAATCAAAACTAAATGGGTAGAACACCTAGAGAGAAATGATATAATATCAGACAGACAGTATGGTTTTCGATCTGGAAGATCCTGTGTATCGAATTTACTCAGTTTCTATGATCGAGCCACAGAGATATTACAGGAAAGAGATGGTTGGGTTGACTGCATCTATCTGGACCTAAAAAAGGCTTTCGACAGAGTTCCACATAAGAGGTTGTTCTGGAAACTGGAAAATATTGGAGGGGTGACAGGTAAGCTTCTATCATGGATGAAAAATTTTCTGACTGATAGAAAAATGAGGGCAGTAATCAGAGGCAATGTATCAGAATGGAGAAATGTCACAAGTGGAGTACCACAGGGTTCAGTTCTTGCACCAGTGATGTTTATTGTGTACATAAATGATCTACCAGTTGGTATACAGAATTATATGAACATGTTTGCTGATGATGCTAAGATAATAGGAAGGATAAGAAATTTAGATGACTGTCATGCCCTTCAAAAAGACCTGGACAAAATAAGTATATGGAGCACCACTTGGCAAATGGAATTTAATGTTAATAAATGTCATGTTATGGAATGTGGAATAGGAGAACATAGACCCCACACAACCTATATATTATGTGAGAAATCTTTAAAGAATTCTGATAAAGAAAGAGATCTAGGAGTGGTTCTAGATAGAAAACTATCACCTGAGGACCACATAAAGAATATTGTGCAAGGAGCCTATGCTATGCTTTCTAACTTCAGAATTGCATTTAAATACATGGATGGCGATATACTAAAGAAATTGTTCATGACTTTTGTTAGGCCAAAGCTAGAATATGCAGCTGTTGTGTGGTGCCCATATCTTAAGAAGCACATCAACAAACTGGAAAAGGTGCAAAGACATGCTACTAAGTGGCTCCCAGAACTGAAGGGCAAGAGCTACGAGGAGAGGTTAGAAGCATTAAATATGCCAAAACTAGAAGACAGAAGAAAAAGAGGTGATATGATCACTACATACAAAATAGTAACAGGAATTGACAAAATCGACAGGGAAGACTTCCTGAGACCTGGAACTTCAAGAACAAGAGGTCATAGATTTAAACTAGCTAAACACAGATGCCGAAGAAATATAAGAAAATTCACCTTCGCAAATAGAGTGGTAGACGGTTGGAACAAGTTAAGTGAGAAGGTGGTGGAGGCCAAGACCGTCAGTAGTTTCAAAGCGTTATATGACAAAGAGTGCTGGGAAGACGGGACACCACGAGCGTAGCTCTCATCCTGTAACTACACTTAGGTAATTACACTTAGGTAATTACACACACACACACACACTCACACCCCCCCCCCCCACACACACACACTCACACCCCCCCCCCCCACACACACACACCACCACCCCCCCCCCCCACACACACACACACCTGCCCAACACTTCCCATCTTCTCAAGTGTCAGAGAAATTAATCTAATTTATGCCACTGAACAAAACAGTTCAGACACATTCTAGGTTTCACCTCCTTTTCCTGTATATCAATAATTGTTTGACAAACACTGAACAATGTTTCTTCATCATCCACACCTGAACACCATCCACACCGTATGTATGAAGGAGTATGCATGGAGGAGTACGTATGGAAGAGTACGTATAGAGGGGTATGTATGGAGGAGAATGTCTGGAAGAGTATGTCTGGTACACATATCAGAGTATGTAAGGGGGTAATAATAATACATATAGTGACTAACCAGGTGTTGCAGTCCTCAGTGATGGTGGCCTTCTCATCATAGGAGCGGCCACCATGGTGACAGGGACACTCGTTGTGACGGATACAGGCGCCCGTGTCTGCGTCACGGACGTAGCCTGACGCACACACACACCCCGGCCGACACAGGTCACTCGTCACGGGCCGTAGATGCATCGTCTGCCCACACAACACAACCCTCATTACTTACCACACATACAGTATCTTTGTTACAATATCATACAATACTAAATATGATACATTTCCTCTAATTCCATACAACTCTAAATACAGACTAAATTATTTTATTGCCTGTTATTCTACTGGGTTTATAGATAATATCGGCGCCATACTACTAGCCTCCCGGACATACAGTATTGTCCGCTGTAATTAACGTCAGTACTGTAATGTAATGTAATGTCCGGACTGTAATGTACAGTCCGCTGTAATTAACTACTTTCTTTGTAAAACACACTCCCATACAGCGCATCATGTCTGATCCAAGCATAATTATTGGTATACACTATTCTGTTGTTACTTTAAGATTCGCTACCTGGAACAAAAAGTTCCAAGTAGCACGGGCTATGGTGACCTATTTTAACTTTAAGTAAAGTAATAACTTTAAGAGTTATACGTGAAGGACTACCCAGCCAAGACAACTAAGTACTGCAGTGTTGAGAACTGCTTAATTGGTCATTAATAGTCCCCATATCTCCTCTTCTACACTACCTGGCAGGTATTCTCCTCGTCTGGGAGACAGTCAACCACTACCACACTACCTGGCAGGTATTCTCCTCGTCTGGGAGACAGTCAGCCTCTACCACACTACCTGGCAGGTATTCTCCTCGTCTGGGAGACAGTCAACCACTACCACACTACCTGGCAGGTATTCTCCTCGTCTGGGAGACAGTCAGCCTCTACCACACTACCTGGCAGGTATTCTCCTCGTCTGGGAGACAGTCAACCACTACCACACTACCTGGCAGGTATTCTCCTCGTCTGGGAGACAGTCAGCCTCTACCACACTACCTGGCAGGTATTCTCCTCGTCTGGGAGACAGTCAACCACTACCACACTACCTGGCAGGTATTCTCCTCGTCTGGGAGACAGTCAGTGTAGACCTCGTGCTTGTCCTGGTGACAGTCGACCTGGGGCGGGCGAGTGACCGTCTCGTTCTCCCGGGGCTTCCAACAGTTCCAGCCGGCGTTGTAGCACTCACTGTCAGGTGACACAACAACATTATATATATCTTTCAGTGGAACAAATGTACACATTTTCTACCACATAATCTGAGAAGTTAGGTAAATGTTACGTATACATAACTTGTATAAACTAACAAAATAACATTTTGTAACGAAAAGGAAGTGATAAATGTAGTAATCACATTAAAAGATAACAGCATTAGTGTGTACTTGTGTTGTGTTGACACAAACAGTATTGTAGATAGTGTAGATAATAGAGTGAGCGTGAGGAGACTGACCAGACGAGGAAGGAGGCGTCGGGCTGCTGCTGCATCATCTCGTAGCCCGGCTTGTACTCCTTGGCCTCGTACACACACGGGCACTCCGTCACGGGCACACACATGCCCGTGCCGTCCAGCGAGAACCCGTCCAGGCAGTTGCACCCTTCCACACACTTCCTTGTGCAGTCACTATTGGTCGCCAGGTCTAGGCACGTGTGAGAACAGCTGTTGCCACACACCTGGTACTTCTGTCCACCAGTACAATGAATGCCTGCAATTACCCATGAGCCGAAGGTAAATATTTGACTGAGAATATTACGAACCACGAAGTTGCCCATTTAATTATACAACACAATATGACAGTCTCTCTATATATCTTTGTCTCAATATTAACTTGTTTATTACAATTATTGAATAAATAAATAATGTCTGATAGTTGAGTTTGTGTAAGTGAATTAATGAGAAGAACGTACCACACTGGCGCACCTCAGCCCGCCAGTCGACGAGGACGCCCTTCCTGGCGCACTCCTTGCTGTAGGCGGCCAGCACGGGGCAGAGGCAGCCGTCCATCTTGGTCTCACACGAGCACATGTCGTACAGACAGTCACGGTAGTATGGGTCAGGGTCCACCTCCAGGTGACACGCTACACAAACACAACATTGTCTCAACAACAACACCACACGTATATAGATTTAAACTAGCTAAACACAGATGCCGAAGAAATATAAGAAAATTCACTTTCGCAAACAGAGTGGTAGACGGTTGGAACAAGTTAGGGGAGAAGGTGGTGGAGGCCAAGACCGTCAGTAGTTTCAAAGCGTTATATGACAAAGAGTACTGGGAAGACGGGACACCACGAGCGTAGCTCTCATACTGTAACTACACTTAGGTAATTACACTTAGGTAATTACTGGTACAGCGTCACACAACACTCTTACGGTCCCTTGTGATTGGTGTAGACTTCAAGTTAATACCATGACCCAATCTCACGTACACATAAACCCAGAATAATAATACTTGTTAATGGAATGCAATTAATCCCACAGCCCCAATCTCAATATAATTATAAATCATAGTAATTTTCAGTCAAATCCCAATGTTTAGTTTCGTCAGTATGGTATTACTAAGATACGACAAGGAAGCATCACGTAAGACAATGAACAACAATACACTCTCTGCCTGAATACCAAATAAACATGATTAAGCCATAAGGTATATCTACCAAAGATACTTGGTTCCGGGGATCAACGTCCCCGCGGCCCGGTCTTTCACCTGGCCTCCTGGTTGGTGGTCTTGTTGTAATGACCGCTTACCCTGTCGTAATAACCGCGGCCTCTATTGTAATAACCCAATGTTCCCCCAGTATTAATCCTGTTATCTTGTTATCTCTCGTGATCGTAATATACGCTCTCTGTTGTACATCTCTGTCTCTCTCCACTCAATACCCCAGCTTAACACTGTTACAGTCCAGCATGACCCCTCACTGGACTGCCACGTATCTAAGAGGAATATTAAATGAGGAAGATACACCCAGGACACGGGTTATTCGCTTATTACTAATTATAAAATAAAAACCATTAAAGCACTGCCACCACCTTCCTGACCAACCATACCTGAATGTGTCTATCACCGATCCCCCAGGAAGGCCAGGAATCAGCAACCATGGGACTCCGGGTAATATGAATTTCAGTAATAAATTTTGGAAAATTAGTTTGTGTAATTTACGTTACTAATTTAAATCCAAGGGCAACTTTAGTATCTATTAATAGTAGGAGAACCTGGGGCTTCCAATACAACACCTAAAAATGACAAAGTAGCAAAATATATCAAAGGGGAGTTAAGTGAATACCACTGGACAAGCTATACAATTTATTTTATGAAACATGTAAATTAAGACAATTTGGACACATCACCTATTCTATTTCCCTAGAGGCACAATGGATATTTACCGAGGACACGAAAACTCAAGTGCTACTATACCTTAAACACCCGCACTACGGCCACGATGTTGATGGCTGCCCTCAGCCCCGAGGATACGGGCTTGCGGCCCTGTTCCTAATACACTCCCAAGACACACTGATGAAATTTAGTTTTTCCAACTTATTGCTGGGAAGGATTGCTCCTCCCATCATCTAATACAGCCCCAGGGCTCCACCCATTATTTTGGCCCTGGCCAACCATTTAACACGTAGGCCTGAGGTCTGGCTCTCTAGGGCCAATAAGGACTTGGCCCTTATCTCAGACCAATCACCTTCACTGATCTGTCGTGGAAAGCTACATGAATTTCTGAAGATTGAGTCAGCTCTCCCCAGCTAGAGAAGGGGGACAAGGCGCGTCTATGGAGCCCAGGCACCTGCGAGCAATGTTTACAAAACTGATAATTTATGTTCAAGCCTGTCTCCTCTAAGATAGGAGTAGGGACATTTGACTCTGCCTGGTATGGGGAAGGCCGCTGCTGAGAGGGACAGAGAGGGATGAGAGGGGGTGGAAAGGGAAATATCTGAGTGGGGAAGTTGAGTTGGAGAAGCCAAGGTATCCACGACCACCCTACCCTCAGGTCAACCTCTTGACCCTGACAAATGGGCGACAGGGGGGGGGGGAAGAGGAGGAGACGAATGACGGCCAAGGGGAGGGGAGAAGGACGGAGGGGAGAGGGAGAAGGAAAGGAGGGGAGAAGGGGAGGGAAAAGAGGGGAGAAGGGAGGGGAGTTGTAATGATCTGGGGCTCAGATCATTGGTTCTCCCTTCTCCCCTCTTTTCCCTCCCCTTCTCCCCTCCTTTCCTTCTCCCTCTCCCCTCCGTCCTTCTCCCCTCCCCTTGGCCGTCATTCGTCTCCTCCTCTTCCCCCCCCCCCCTGTCGCCCATTTGTCAGGGTCAAGAGGTTGACCTGAGGGTAGGGTGGTCGTGGATACCTTGGCTTCTCCAACTCAACTTCCCCACTCAGATATTTCCCTTTCCACCCCCTCTCATCCCTCTCTGTCCCTCTCAGCAGCGGCCTTCCCCATACCAGGCAGAGTCAAATGTCCCTACTCCTATCTTAGAGGAGACAGGCTTGAACATAAATTATCAGTTTTGTAAACATTGCTCGCAGGTGTCTGGGCTCCATAGACGCGCCTTGTCCCCCTTCTCTAGCTGGGGAGAGCTGACTCAATCTTCAGAAATTCATGTAGCTTTCCACGACAGATCAGTGAAGGTGATTGGTCTGAGATAAGGGCCAAGTCCTTATTGGCCCTAGAGAGCCAGACCTCAGGCCTACGTGTTAAATGGTTGGCCAGGGCCAAAATAATGGGTGGAGCCCTGGGGCTGTATTAGATGATGGGAGGAGCAATCCTTCCCAGCAATAAGTTGGAAAAACTAAATTTCATCAGTGTGTCTTGGGAGTGTATTAGGAACAGGGCCGCAAGCCCGTATCCTCGGGGCTGAGGGCAGCCATCAACATCGTGGCCGTAGTGCGGGTGTTTAAGGTATAGTAGCACTTGAGTTTTCGTGTCCTCGGTAAATATCCATTGTGCCTCTAGGGAAATAGAATAGGTGATGTGTCCAAATTGTCTTAATTTACATGTTTCATAAAATAAATTGTATAGCTTGTCCAGTGGTATTCACTTAACTCCCCTTTGATATTGTGACGATAATCTCCTTCAAGAGATTGAGCCTGCTCTTCCCTCCAAAATTACGTCTTCACAACTATATAAAAGACTATGGAAGAAATGTCCAACAACGACAACAAACACCAGCAAGGCTTGCCAGGGTGAGCAGAAACGTATGCAACCAGCCACCTGTTCGAACTCCAACCACCAAACTACCCGTTGATCGCTACGACTCCGCTGATTGGTCGCCGGTCTGGCTGCACCTGCACTCGCCCCCCAATACTACCCGATGTCTGGGGTCGCCCCAACATCAGTCTTCAGAATGTTCCGTGCTTTCGTAGCCAGCACACCTCCCAGCTAGACTCTAGAGTGTACTGAGAGAGGTGGTGGCTTTAAGCCAATATTCCAGCACCTCCCACTTACTGTTGTATTGCACTTCTTGTTATTTTGCCTTAACGTAACTTTTCATTTTGTCATTTAAGTATTCTTATTATTTTGATTCATTGATTTTATTATAAGAATTTGTTTGTGCATTATTTTCATGTTTTGATTTATTTAACGTCATTAAAATTTCATTGTTAAAGTTTTACTTGTGTTTTGTGTGTCTTCTCCTTACCTTACCACAGACGAAGTTCCAGTTTTTTCTATTTTTTTTTTATAACTATGTGACGAGGCCATACCCCTAGCCTTAAACAGCCGAACACCAACGCGTTACCGTCACAATATATTTTGCTACTTTGTCATTTTTAGGTGTTGTATTGGAAGCCCCAGGTTCTCCTACTATTAATAGATACTAAAGTTGCCCTTGGATTTAAATTAGTAACGTAAATTACACAAACTAATTTTCCAAAATTTATTACTGAAATTCATATTACCCGGAGTCCCATGGTTGCTGATTCCTGGCCTTCCTGGGGGATCGGTGATAGACACATTCAGGTATGGTTGGTCAGGAAGGTGGTGGCAGTGCTTTAATGGTTTTTATTTTATAATTAGTAATAAGCGAATAACCCGTGTCCTGGGTGTATCTTCCTCATTTAATATTCCTCTTAGATACGTGGCAGTCCAGTGAGGGGTCATGCTGGACTGTAACAGTGTTAAGCTGGGGTATTGAGTGGAGAGAGACAGAGATGTACAACAGAGAGCGTATATTACGATCACGAGAGATAACAAGATAACAGGATTAATACTGGGAACATTGGGTTATTACAATAGAGGCCGCGGTTATTACGACAGGGTAAGCGGTCATTACAATGGTGGCAGCGGTGGGATGAGAGGGGGTAGAAAGGGAAATATCTGAGTGGGGAAGTTGAGTTGGAGAAGCCAAGGTATCCACGACCACCCTACCCTCAGGTCAACCTCTTGACCCTGACAAATGGGCGACAGGGGGGGGGAAGAGGAGGAGACGAATGACGGCCAAGGGGAGGGGAGAGGGAGAAGGAAAGGAGGGGAGAAGGGGAGGGAAAAGAGGGGAGAAGGGAGAACCAATGATCTGAGCCCCAGATCATTACATTGTGAACCAGGACGCGGCTGGTCGCAGCCTGACGTATGAATCACAGCCTGGTTGATCAGGTATCATTTGGAGGTGTTTGTCAAGTTATGTTGTGAATACGGTGGGAGGTTGGTTAGTAAGGGCCAGTATGGGCGGGGGGAGAGTTGAAGTCTCGGGCGGCCGAGGACACAGCTCTCTCTCAGGGTACCTATTGCAACCCTTCCTTCCAACGGGGCTATTGTGCACATCCTGCCATGGCTCCTACTCTCCTGTGGTTCTATTCCCATCCCCCCATTGCAAACTAGTCACTTGGAAAAAGAATATTTTCCAAGCTTAAATTATTTCGTATCTCTCGCCTGCGATCTAAAGAATACAGATTCAAAATTCTAAGCCGTCCTAATATTTTAGAATGTCTATTAAATGGATTCTAGCAGTAAAAGATCTTTGCACGCTCTCAATGTCAGCAATTTCTCCGGCTTTGAATGGGACTGTTATGGTGTAATAATATTCCAGCATAGAGAACATTAGTGTCATAAAAAGTAACATCATTGGTGTGGCATCTCTTGTGTGAAAGATTCTTGTTACCCAACCTGTCATTTTCCTTGTGGTTGTGCCAGCTACTTAGATGTATTCCTTAAAATATTTTTTTTCTGACATGATAACTTCCAAATCTTATATATAATGACTTTTCTTGCAATAGTGTGATTTGACTGCGTTTTATATGTGGTTTCCGTTTTGATATTTTCGTTTATCCTAAGCCTTCTATATACTCCCCAAGCCTGGCCCCGGGCCGAGCTTGGGGAGTAGAAAAACTCCACGAACCCCATCCAGGCACAATTCAGGTACAGTACTCATAATATGAGAAGGCTATATGGAAATATAAGACAGGATAACATGTAGAATGAGTACCCAACTACACGGTGGATTACTCATAACGATGTACTCACCTCCAAAAAGATTTGATTTAAGTTTGGCACAGAACTTCTCTGCCACTGCTTTGTTCTGTACGTGTCTGTCACACGGGCGGGTCTCGTCCGCCAGGGGCTGGTCTGGGCACTTCTGGGTAGAGAAGGTTCACTTGAGCGGTCAGTTTAAGTCACGTAAGGTTCCTGCTCACTCCCCAACACACACACACACACACATATGGGTGTACATAGCAGCCTAATATTGCGGCCATACACACACACATGTTTTATAATAAACATCTTGTTGTGTTCCTGCCTTATGTTGTTGACTTATATTATATTACCACCTGCGTGCCTTCTGACGCTGCCATATATGTACGCCATCTGAGCCAACCTTTAACACGTACTTCATATTCACACTAAGTCATAATCCACAGCATAATAACGCCGTGGGGCCCAGCCAGGGACCCAGTGGTGGCCATCTTACATTACTATGCCACAACATATATGGATCACATTAGTATCTAAGTGCTCTGTGCCAGTCTTCAGCACTGATAACAAACACAATAATAGTCCTGGCCTTGATGATACTAACCTCAGAAGTCTTCCACTTGTTAGAAAAAGCGATGACATTCTGCTCGACGTCTCCCTCTGGGGTGAGGAAGTCGTCCCTCTGATTGTCAGTAAAAGTGCCACACAGCCCGGCTGTCATGCCGCGGAACTCTGCCGGGGCGTCTATGTACACCCGCGTCTGTCCGTCCCACCACACGTCCAGCCCATTGCCCAACTCCACTGCAAAAGTCAGTTAATAACAATATAGAAATAAAGGAAACAGCAGAGCAGTTTTGGTCCATGTGTAGGAGCTGCTATGGTATGGTAACACCCATCACATGTGTGCCTGACCCTTGCTTCAAACACCACCACACAGCACATATGGTACCCCTAACACCACCAGCACACAGCACATATGGCACCCAAACACCCTCAGCACACAGCACATATGGTACCCAAACACCCTCAGCACACAACACATATGGCACCCAAACACCCTCAGCACACAACACATATGGCACCCAAACACCCTCAGCACACAGCACATATAGTACCCAAACACCCTCAGCACACAGCACATATGGCACCCAAACACCCTCAGCACACAGCACATATGGTACCCAAACACCCTCAGCACACAGCACATATGGTACCCAAACACCACCAGCACACAGCACATATGGTACCCAAACACCCTCAGCACACAGCACATATGGCACCCAAACACCCTCAGCAGACAGCACATATGGCACCCAAACACCCTCAGCACACAGCACATATGGCACCCAAACACCACCAGCACACAGCACATATGGCACCCAAACACCCTCAGCACACAGCACATATGGCACCCAAACACCACCAGCACACAGCACATATGGTACCCAAACACCCTCAGCACACAACACATATGGTACCCAAACACCCTCAGCACACAGCACATATGGTACCCAAACACCACCAGCACACAGCACATATGGTACCCAAACACCCTCAGCACACAGCACATATGGCACCCAAACACCCTCAGCACACAGCACATATGGCACCCAAACACCACCAGCACACAGCACATATGGCACCCAAACACCCTCAGCACACAACACATATGGCACCCAAACACCACCAGCACACAGCACATATGGCACCCAAACACCCTCAGCACACAGCACATATGGCACCCAAACACCACCAGCACACAGCACATATGGTACCCAAACACCCTCAGCACACAGCACATATGGCACCCAAACACCCTCAGCACACAGCACATATGGCACCCAAACACCCTCAGCACACAGCACATATGGCACCCAAACACCCTCAGCACATATGGCACCCAAACACCACCAGCACACAGCACATATGGCACCCAAACACCCTCAGCACACAGCACATATGGTACCCAAACACCACCAGCACACAGCACATATGGCACCCAAACACCCTCAGCAGACAGCACATATGGCACCCAAACACCCTCAGCACACAGCACATATGGCACCCAAACACCTTCAGCACACAGCACATATGGCACCCAAACACCCTCAGCACACAGCACATATGGCACCCAAACACCTTCAGCACACAGCACATATGGCACCCAAACACCTTCAGCACACAGCACATATGGCACCCAAACACCTTCAGCACACAGCACATATGGTACCACTAATTGCTTCCATAAATCATTAACACAGTTCCAAACAGTATTGTGTACCCAGGCCTTTCCTAACTTTATACTTACTTAACTTACAAGTATCACGTTATATTATTTATATCACCACTCTCATACTTTCATCCTTTTGTACGGTACAAAGACAGCATTTTGTAAGTCTTTAGTGTGTACTCACCTAGTTGTGCTTGCGGGGGTTGAGCTCTGGCTCTTTGGTCCCGCCTCTCAACTGTCAATCAACTGGTGTACAGGTTCCTGAGCCTATTGGGCTCTATCATATCAACACTTGTAACTGTGTATGGAGTCAGCCTCCACCACATCACTGCCTAATGCATTCCATCTGTTAACTACTCTGACACTGAGAAACTTCGTTCTAATGTCTCTGTGGCTCATTTGAGTACTAAGGTTTTTCCTGTGTCCCCTTGTTCGTGTACCGCCCGTGCTAAATAGTTGATCTTTGTCCATCCTGTCAATTCCTATGAAATTTTGTAGGTGGTGATCATGTCTCCCGTTGAACGTCTATCTTGGGACGTGAGGTTTATTTCCCGCAGCCTTTCCTCATAACTTATACCTCTCAGTTCTGGGACTAGTCTGATGGCATACTCTGAATCTTCTGTAGCTTTGCTTTATGTTTAACTAGGTATGGACTCCAGACTGGAGCTGCATACCCCACGATTGGTCTGACATATGTGGCGTGACCACTCACATTCCGGGATACAGGCAATAATGACTCGAGGAGTGAACACCGTCATAACATTACCATAAATACTTACCCATGAGGAAGAGGCTGGAGGCGGCCTTGATGTAGGCGCCCTTGACCCAGGCGGGCAGCTCCTTCAGCTCCACACCGTTGATGGTGACCTCCCGATCCTGCTTGAGGCGGATCACGGTGCCCTCCACCCGCACCGTCACAGACTTGGTACACGACGGGAACTGGCTCACCACCGACCCCGGGAAGTTCATGCTCTGTAACAACACCACCCTTGTCACTCCTGCTGCTGCCATGTCCTCTCCTGGCCACCCTGGCCTCACACCTCACCAGGGTGTGGCCAGCCTGGCCTCACACCTCACCACGGTGTGGCCACCCTGGCCTCACACCTCACCACGGTGTGGCCACCCTGGCCTCACACCTCACCACGGTGTGGCCACCCTGGCCTCACACCACCATAACACTAAGGGTACAATATTATACAAGGCGATATTCGTGTTCGTTGTGTAAATAACATTATGTAACAATTACTTTACTGCCATGACTCATTTTCCTGCCAAATCAAGTTTGGTAAATCATAAAATGTGTTTAAATGTATATTATATATATCAACACTGTTTACATACCCTCAGGTGTTTATGAGATCGCTATAGAAAGATGCAACTCACACACCCGCCCACAGAGACAGGTGTGTGGGGGGCAGCAACACAGGTGTAGCCCCACACACCCGCCCACAGAGACAGGTGTGTGGGGGGCAGCAACACAGGTGTAGCCCCACACACCCGCCCACCTCAGTATTCCCACCATACTACAAACAGATCCACACTTAACAATCTCCTCCTACAAAGGCAACTGAGGTATTTTCTTAGCTACAGAGACGTGAGTGTTCATGTTCCTACAGACACGTCAGCGTTAGACTACAGACCCGCAGCATTGACAAGTATCCCCTGCAAGGTGTTAGAGAGAATGGGCCCAAGCAGGCCAGTAGAACACATTCATTTATTTGTCAATTTTGCCCCGAGGGGCGAGTTTATTGGGCAGCGTCACTCATCCTGTGAGTGGACACACCGCCATAGTGACAGTATTGGGCAGCCCCACTCATCCTGTGAGTGGACACACCGCCATAGTGACAGTATTGGGCAGCGCCACTCATCCTGTGAGTGGACACACCGCCATAGTGACAGTATTGGGCAGCGCCACTCATCCTGTGAGTGGACACACCGCCATAGTGACAGCATTGGGCAGCGCCACTCATCCTGTGAGTGGACACACCGCCATAGTGACAGTATTGGGCAGTGCCACTCATCCTGTGAGTGAACACACCGCCATAGTGACAGTATTGGGCAGCGCCACTCATCCTGTGAGTGGACACACCGCCATAGTGACAGTATTGGGCAGCGCCACTCATCCTGTGAGTGGACACACCACCATAGTGACAGTATTGGGCAGCGCCACTCATCCTGTGAGTGGACACACCGCCATAGTGACAGTATTGGGCAGCGCCACTCATCCTGTGAGTGAACACACCGCCATAGTGACAGTATTGGGCAGCGCCACTCATCCTGTGAGTGAACACACCGCCATAGTGACAGTATTGGGCAGCGCCACTCATCCTGTGAGTGAACACACCGCCATAGTGACAGTATTGGGCAGCGTCACTCATCCTGTGAGTGAACACACCGCCATAGTGACAGTATTGGGCAGCGCCACTCATCCTGTGAGTGAACACACCGCCATAGTGACAGTATTGGGCAGCGCCACTCATCCTGTGAGTGGACACACCGCCATAGTGACAGTATTGGGCAGCGCCACTCATCCTGTGAGTGGACACACCGCCATAGTGACAGTATTGGGCAGCGCCACTCATCCTGTGAGTGGACACACCGCCATAGTGACAGTATTGGGCAGCGTCACTCATCCTGTGAGTGAACACACCGCCATAGTGACAGTATTGGGCAGCGCCACTCATCCTGTGAGTGGACACACCGCCATAGTGACAGTATTGGGCAGCGCCACTCATCCTGTGAGTGGACACACCGCCATAGTGACAGTATTGGGCAGCGCCACTCATCCTGTGAGTGGACACACCGCCATAGTGACAGTATTGGGCAGCGCCACTCATCCTGTGAGTGGACACACCGCCATAGTAACAGTATTGGGCAGCGTCACTCATCCTGTGAGTGGACACACCGCCATAGTGACAGTATTGGGCAGCGCCACTCATCCTGTGAGTGGACACACCGCCATAGTGACAGTATTGGGCAGCGCCACTCATCCTGTGAGTGGACACACCGCCATAGTGACAGTATTGGGCAGCGCCACTCATCCTGTGAGTGGACACACCGCCATAGTGACAGTATTGGGCAGCGCCACTCATCCTGTGAGTGAACACACCGCCATAGTGACAGTATTGGGCAGCCCCACTCATCCTGTGAGTGGACACACCGCCATAGTGACAGTATTGGGCAGCGCCACTCATCCTGTGAGTGGACACACCGCCATAGTGACAGTATTGGGCAGCGCCACTCATCCTGTGAGTGAACACACCGCCATAGTGACAGTATTGGGCAGCGCCACTCATCCTGTGAGTGGACACACCGCCATAGTGACAGTATTGGGCAGCGCCACTCATCCTGTGAGTGAACACACCGCCATAGTGACAGTATTGGGCAGCCCCACTCATCCTGTGAGTGGACACACCGCCATAGTGACAGTATTGGGCAGCGCCACTCATCCTGTGAGTGGACACACCGCCATAGTGACAGTATTGGGCAGCGCCACTCATCCTGTGAGTGGACACACCGCCATAGTGACAGTATTGGGCAGCGCCACTCATCCTGTGAGTGAACACACCGCCATAGCAGCATGTACATAATGTTATCTCAAGGCGCTAGCATGGTTTTAGTCAAGGAAAATCCTGTTTGACAAACTATCTAGAGTTCTATAACAATATGGCATAAATCAAACACCTGAGAGAGAAGGACGCGGTCAGACTGCATATTCCTTGACTGTTAGAAATCATTTGATATGGTCCGGCATCAAAGACTCCTACTCAAACGAAGGGCGAAAACACAGGGAAGACATGATTACCTCATACAAAATACTCTGAGGTAACATACAGGACAGACAATTTAGTAAGGGTAATATACAATTTAGCACGAACCAAGGGTCAGGCATAGATCGAAACTAAGTACTCAAATGAGCCACAGAAACATAAGATAACTTTTTCTCATTATGAAAGTAATTAACAATTGGAGTGAGTTAAGTGAGATGGAGGAGGCAGACTACATAGAGACATGAGCTTTACCATAAGAGACATGACAGAGCCGAATGGGGTCAGGAGCCTTTGCTCTAGTCGACTAGGAGTGGCGAGGCGGGACCCATCAGCAGTAGCTCATCCCCGCTCTCCAGTAGGTGAGTGTAACTAGGAGAGTACACACACACACACACACACACACACACACACACACACACACACACACACACACACACACACACACACACACACACACACACACACACACACACACACACACACACACACACACACACACACACACACACACTACATAACGGCAGGAGGCGCCAGCAGGCGGGTGCAGGAGTCCTGGGAATAAACACCAAGAAACTGGAACATGACAAGAAACATTGACCAGTAACGGCACACCCGTGTTGGTGGGAGGTGTGGCTTGGTCCCCCCAACACCGTCCACACCACACACCTGCCACAGTGGAAGGTCCCCTCCCCCCACACCGTCCACACCACACACCTGCCACAGTGAAAGGTCCCCCCCACACCGTCCACACCACACACCTGCCACAATGGAAGGCCCGCCCCCACACCCGTCCACAAGAAGGTAAGGAAGGGGAAGGTGGCAGGAAGAGGTGGGAGAGGTGAGAGAAGGAACGGTGTGAGAGGTCAAAAGGTGAGATGGAGGAGAAAAGTTGAGAGAGGTGAGGGGAAGGGATGGTATACAAGGCAAGAGAGGGAGGTAAGAAAGGGAGGATTGGGGTAAGTTTAGGGCCAAGAGGAAGGAAAGTCGCCACCCTTTGACCTCTCTACTCACCTAACTGTACTCACCTGTGTTCGCTGCCCCCCCCCCTCCCCCTCACCATGGCATAACCAGTAATTATACCAATGTTTTCCCACCAGTACTTTACTACAGCACCAGCTTCAGCTCCTGGGCCCCGACTGTCTCACCAGTACCTTACTACAGCACCAGCTTCAGCTCCTGGGCCCCGACTGTCTCACCAGTACCTTACTACAGCACCAGCTTCAGCTCCTGGGCCCCGACTGTCTCACCAGTACTTTACTACAGCACCAGCTTCAGCTCCTGGGCCCCGACTGTCTCACCAGTACCTTACTACAGCACCAGCTTCAGCTCCTGGGCCCCGACTGTCTCACCAGTACTTTACTACAGCACCAGCTTCAGCTCCTGGGCCCCGACTGTCTCACCAGTACCTTACTACAGCACCAGCTTCAGCTCCTGGGCCCCGACTGTCTCACCAGTACCTTACTACAGCACCAGCTTCAGCTCCTGGGCCCCGACTGTCTCACCAGTACTTTACTACAGGACGAGCTTCAGCTCCTGGGCCCCGACTGTCTCACCAGTACCTTACTACAGCACCAGCTTCAACTCCTGGGCCCCGACTGTCTCACCAGTACCTTACTACAGCACCAGCTTCAGCTCCTGGGCCCCGACTGTCTCACCAGTACCTTACTACAGGACGAGCTTCAGCTCCTGGGCCCCGACTGTCTCACCAGTACCTTACTACAGCACCAGCTTCAGCTCCTGGGCCCGACTGTCTCACCAGTACCTTACTACAGCACCAGCTTCAGCTCCTGGGCCCCGACTGTCTCACCAGTACTTTACTACAGCACCAGCTTCAGCTCCTGGGCCCCGACTGTCTCACCAGTACCTTACTACAGCACCAGCTTCAGCTCCTGGGCCCCGACTGTCTCACCAGTACCTTACTACAGCACCAGCTTCAGCTCCTGGGCCCCGACTGTCTCACCAGTACTTTACTACAGCACCAGCTTCAGCTCCTGGGCCCCGACTGTCTCACCAGTACTTTACTACAGCACCAGCTTCAGCTCCTGGGCCCCGACTGTCTCACCAGTACTTTACTACAGCACCAGCTTCAGCTCCTGGGCCCCGACTGTCTCACCAGTACCTTACTACAGCACCAGCTTCAGCTCCTGGGCCCCGACTGTCTCACCAGTACTTTACTACAGCACCAGCTTCAGCTCCTGGGCC